GAAGCAGGTTTTTTGAAAGACTAGCTATACTAAAGCCTCTACATATTTATCTTTTTTGGAACCAGTCAAGCAGAGTGAAATGAAAATAAAGTTTCTGTCTCTTTGTTTTTGTTGTTGTCATCTTTACCAGAGGAATAAAGAAGCCCCCATCTTGAATTTCCTCCTTCACTCCCTTAGACCGAGAGCCAGACGAGCAAAAGCTGTGACTGTCGGACTCCCGCGCGTACGCGCTGACGGAGACGCGTTGTGAGGCGAAGCCGAGTTTTCGCTTCTAATCACTCTCATATGTGGAGGTGCCACTGGAGGGATCGTTGTGTTATCTCACGTCGTCATCTGCGGGTTTGCCTGGGAGCATGTGGTCCCGGTTAACACCAGAACATGAAGCCAGAGTAAAAGTCTCTGGGAATTAGAGAAGACAGGTCTGTCTTCAGTCTGCTTGTTGATGATGAGCCCTGGCATGATGGTGCGCCGCGCGCCGTCAGAGCAGAACATCAGCTTCAGCTCCGACGCTCAAGTGGATTAAGGGCTTAGAGACACACTCCTCCCGGGCTTTGTGCACAAACCACCGCGATTCCCCCCTGCAAAGGCTGACTTAATCACTAATTTAGTCTCCTCTACCTTCAACCACATTAAATCGCACAGCAAGAAAAAAACTATCAACTTAATGTGGCGAATAGTGCAAACTGTACGCTTTGGTTTGGTGCACCATAAATAGAAACACATGGCATCCAAATCCTCTAATCAGTCAAATATGTATTTATTTATTACGGTCAATAAGTAAACTGCATATGGGTCTACATCGGGGCCATAAACTTTGCTCAAAAAGTTTTATGAAGTAAAAAAAACAACAACAAAAAGACACATTCCAACTGAAAATATGTGAAACAGAAAAAAAATTAAAATGTTGAAACACCAAAAATTTCAAACTGAAAACCAAATTATAACATAATTAAAACTGAAAAAAATGTACAATTGGAAACTGAAAAAAAAAGTTCAAAACCGCTTTTCAGTTTCAAATATTTATTTTTTTCCACTTTCTTTCTTTCTCTCTTTCTTAGCAAATATCAATTTTCTTCTAAAACAACAATCTAAAAAGCAAAAAGTGAAGAACATTATTTATAACGGTTGTCAGTCAGAGATGAGCCCAAAACTTTCCAGCATCTCTTCTAGTTTCTCGATCAGAAGCAGATCACGTTCTAGACTGCCATTTTTAAATGCTGAATTCTTTTTTATATCTTTCTCTCGTACTATTTTATTCTCACTCGTTTTGTGTCATATTTCCAGATGTTTTCATCCTTTTGTAAAACTTGCCGATTTCACTTTGGGACGGTAAAGTTTGGTAACAGGAACGCCAACAAACCGAAGAGCAGTGAGAGGTCTCGCCTTCAAAATGTCAACACGAATTCATTTCCGGTCAGATTCAACAAGAACTAAACTCTACGACTGTCATAAAGCAAGAACTCACTGACTATTCTGTGTAAAAGGTGGTAACCAAAACCATAACTCATAACTCAATCCACAGCTTTTGGGCCATCAGACATGCTTGAGGTCAGCAGCCTTAAAATAAGTGATTATGGAGGCTGGTTACTGTAATATGCCAGTTTCTGCATAAAGGTATTTTACCATCCTCCTCACTGGGTCGAATTTGTCTGGGTTCCAGTTAAATGAAACTGTTTAATGATTGTTTTGACCTGTTTCTGGGGTTTAGGGGCGAAGCTTTCTTCCTTTTAGCACCGTTTGTAGAGATGAACAAACATCTGCCTCACTTTGCCTTTGCAGAGAAAGATAAAGAAAGGCTTTTGTGTCCCAATCAGCTAGAAATGATCAGCGTTACATTCATCTCACTGGAAAAGATGTCAAACAATGCGACACTCAGACTTTTGGAAATGAGTGATTTGCATTCTCACAATAAAAACTGAATTTAGGCTTTTAGGCTTTTTACACATATTTAGCTGATTTGCCAAAACAAAGTTCTGGAAAATGATGTTGTTTATTAGACTTACATAAAACTGTAAAATGCTGCAGATGTTTATCGCTGTATTTGTCCAGGTCATGCGTTTGTCGAAGGAACTTTCTTTTGTTTTTTTTTCTGCAGCGCATTCAGGCTAAGTTTATACTAAAGACTCAAAAACAAAAAAGTCCAGTTCTTTTCTCTCTCTTACCTTAAATCCTGTTGTGTTTTGTGTATTTTTTTTCTCATCTCACGTCTCTGTTGCATCTTCGTCTTCGCTTGCATTTTACTCATTATCCCGGGGTTTAAGTGTTTGGAGGATGTCTGGATGTCAAGGAGAATAAAACTGAATCTTAGACAGATGTTTGGAAAGGTAAGATGGCCCCAGCAGGCTGTTATTTCCCTGGCTTCAAACCCAAACCTTCCTCTTTGATCCAGCTACTAAGAACCATGGGATCAGTGAGATCATGGGATTAGGACAGTGCGAACAGAAAACAAACAAGCACAGAGAGATAGCTTAAAAGCAAAAAACCTGTGATATCTGGATTAAACAAATTATTAGCATTAGCGTGATTGATATCGCCCCTGCACTGTTTTGGCTTTTCATGAGTCAGTAGTCAGGCAGCTGGGACGGGATGAGTGTGTTTGTTCACAGCAGTTTTCAGAAAGCAGTTCCTGTTGTGCTGCTGCTTAGAGAACGAAGACAAACAAAAATCACATTGCTATGGTGATAGGATGATGCATGATGTCCCTCTGAAGTCCGACTGGAGTCTGAGCACCAAGGCTTAACGGGTTACAACCTCAGAACTGGTGACGTCTTCATTTTCTACGGTTTAAAATCTTTAATTGGACTAACGAAAAGCTTGAACCGGTTATGTTAGATTTTCATCTTCTGCATTGACATGCTTTTAATCCAGTTTTTGTTGGATAAGGTATTCAATCTGTTCATTAACTGAATAAATATAAATAAATTAGTAGTAAAAATTAAAAGAAGATCAGCAAGATTTCAAGCTTGCCACAGGGCGACAGGATATATGTCAAGATAAAGGGGACAATAAATGTAACGCTCAATTTTATAGCCGAGACGTAGTGTCTCTCTGTGAAAAATTAAGCAATAAAAGAGTAGGGTTCTGTTCCATTATCACATTTACTTGAAGCTCTTTACATTGAAATAGTGACAAAATTGTGAATACATTGTGGATGTACAGTCATCCCCGGTGACACCAAGAACAAAAACAGAAGTGTTTACCGGTTGAGTCTGTGTTAATTGGAGAGTTTTAACCCCCAGCTTGATGCTCGATATGTGCTTTACATCACCCCACAATTTATTTTTATTTCCTACAAACTGATTGGTTTTGAGATTGTGGAGGGAGAAGCTTGCTCATAAAACCAGTCCTGAAAGAGTCATCGCTGCACATCGTTTCTCTACTAAATGCATTACATCAGTTTTGTAGCAGCATAAATAGGTTTTTCTGAAGTTTCCCTCTAAAAGCAGGCCACACAGCGGATAGTCTCTCTTTCTCTCTCTGTGGTTTTCTTGAAAGAAAGTTGCAACGTTCCTTATGTGTTGGTATTTTCACTGGATGGCCTAATCCAGCTGTCAGTATAACCAAAATACACTTTGCAATTCGGTGCCTGAATATTCTAATCGTGTCGATTCGGTCGACCTCTAATGGAGAGCTTTTCGCATCGCTTCACAGTAACCTGATCTGAACATTTTCGGAAATGTCACCTCTTTGGTCAGAGCAGAAACTGCTCTTTTGTAAAGGCCAGTGGGGAAATCGCAAGACAGACACCGTCCCTGTTTGGCTTCGCCGCTTTATGGAGGGACTCTGGCAACAGTCAAACACTTTGCTGTGCCGGGGACAAGCAGACTGAGCTTGTCCTTTCTCACAGGCAAAGTGAAATGGGCTGAGTCCCCAGAGAAGTGCGATAAAGACAGCGGGAATAAACCTCGAAAACCGGCGGAATAAACACAGACAGATAAGATGTTAACACGCAGGAAGAGAAACTGCCGTAAAATACGACCAGCTGGGAACGTTGCCAGCGTCTGAGTCACCGAGGTGAGGTTTTCCAGGTCGGGGTTCAGGAAGAGGCTGCACCTGAAAGCGTCGCTCTTGCTGTGGTCTTGGACATTCCTGTGGGCCTCAGTAATGACTCCTAATGGCACTAATGAACCTCCGCAGAGGAGACTCGCACCACATGGGTGTTTTAGCGAGAAGGGCTTAGGCAGGAGGTGGAGGGGGGATAGAAAGGTAAACAACGAAACCAGGGGGGAAAAAAAGATGGAGCTGGCTTTGGTTGAGTGGAATAGAGACAGCTGAGAGCAGGAGATTTGTTAGGGAACAGAGGGAATGGAAAACTTGAAAGAGGAAAATAACCCGAGCCAAAAGAATAACAGGAGAGATATTAACGTTGTCCTGGCATACCAAAATATTCCCTGTTTTCACTATCTGAAAATATCCTATACCTTTCCAAATACTTTGTTGGCATATTAACCTTAGCTGTGTAACGTTTCCAGATTGGGCAAGAAAAAAAAAATCTAATAATCGTAGATATATATTTTTTCCAGTTACATTTTGCAACCTTGTTCTTGTTATATCTGAGGGCTGCAGCTAATGATGATTTCAGTAATTGATTAATCTACTGATTTAATCGGATAAAAAAAAAATCAGGTTTTTCTTTTAACCACTTAAGTCATCTTTGTACAATTTCAGAAATACGTTGAAAGATGCAAATGAACCAACAATTTGGTTTCTTTTTAAAATAAAATCAACATTTTATTGGCTAAAATGCAATAACATGCCACTCCTCTAGTGAATGCTTGATCATTTGTAACAAAGGATGCATCTGCCGCTAAAAACATACTTTTACCGTCAACATGTAAAACCTCAGGTCTTTTATCTCAACTTAGGGGTGACCTGTGTTTATCAGTTTATTTTGATGAACCAATTAATAGTTGGACGGTAAAAAATGCTAGATAGTAGTTCCAGTCCTACAGCATTTTTCTGGTTTCTTTTTTTCTTTCTTTGCATGTGTGCTCCTGGAGGTGAGTTATCCATGGGCGAGCTCCAAGACCCGTTCCTCGTCAGCGTCCACCTCATCTCTGACCGCGGCCAGGGCAAGTTCCTGCAGCGCGCCGCCGACGCCGTGCTGGCGTGGGTCCACCCCGAGCTGCAGCTCTTCAGAGTCTCTGAGCGGGCGTCCACCTCCCAGCGGCCTTGGCCGAAGCGGCACCAAAACGGCGGCCCGTCTGCCGCCGGGTCTCAGCCGGCCGTGGCGGTCATCCTCTTCCTGCAGGAGGCGTACGGCGGCGAGGAGCAGATCCTGACGCTGCACCGCACCCTGCAGAGACCGCCGTGGCGGTACCACCACACAGAAAAAGTCAGCAACGGCCGCAGCATGCTGCCCCTCACGCCGTACAGTCAGGACTTTTTCGTCCTGTCCCCCGGCACGCCGCTCTGGGCGGTCCGGCAGGTCCACTACGGCAAGGAAATTGTGCGGTTCACAGTTTACTGCCGCCACGAGAACTACGTGGACATGGTCCGGCTCTACAAGCTGCTGCTCCAGCGACGTGTGGCGCAGAAGAAGGAGGACTTTTGCTTCTTCGTGGTGTACTCCAACCCCGACATGGAGATCCAGCTGTCCTTTAAGAGGCTCCCTCGGGGACAGAGCCCCGTTGTGCTGGACTCGGCGGTGATGGAGGTGAGGGTACGAGACGTCGGAGTGCTGGTCCCGCTGCTACCTCACCCCTGCAGCCCAATCAGCGACGTCCGCTGGCAGACGGAGGATTACGATGGGAATAAAATCCTGCTGCAGGTGAGCATCCTTTGGGTGATACTTGTTTGCTTTGGGTGATACTTGTTTGCTCCTCCGCAAACTGGTGATTCAGTCGCATCTACAGATCTTTTTCAGTTTCTAACAGGTTATCTCTCCGGAGTTCCCCCTGTTTAGCTCCAGCTATCTTCCCTTAAAACCACAGCATGATGCTGCCACCACCATTTTATATTGTGGTGATGTATTCAGGGCAATCCTCTATTTAGCTTGTACATAAAATAAAGGCCTTAAAATATATTAAATTTTAAAAATGGCAAGTTAGCCTTTGAGACGTTAATCCTAGAGCTTAAATTGTATCATGGCAAGACTCCTTAATCTCATATGTTCCATATTTATTTTTTCTTGCTGAGCCTTTCTGTCAGGCAAACGTTTGAGTCGCACTCAGATGTCTTAATTCTGTGACTCAAGACGATTAAGGCTATAGCTGGTAGCTGCTAAAATACCCCTAGCAGTTTTGGGTCTTGAATAGAATAGAGTAGCATTTATTGTTTGTCACTGAACTTGCGTACAATGAGATAAAAGCAGCTCCAAAACAGAGCAAACAATGTAGGAAAATATATACAAATTTTCATCCACTTCACAGTGAAAAACTACTTTGTGTAAAATCCAATTAAAAATAATTTCTTTCAGACAAAATATGAAAACATTAATTTTGTACGAATGCGTTTGTTGCATAACAGTTGGAGAGACTTGCACAACAAAGTGGTTGTTTGAGGGGTGTCGGTTTCAGAGGGGGTATGTGTGTCCCGGCGCTGTGAGATAAGTGGTTTGGAAAGTTCAGGCTGATTAAGAAGCAGTCCATTACTGGGATTGGTGCAACACAGAGAAACAACAAGCTAATCTGTCATGACAATGGGCCATATGTATGATGCTTAAAGTGCCAGCTGGTCTGAGGTCAGAGGTTCTTCCACAAAGTTCTGCCAGTAGGAATGTGTAGTTTCAGACTTGGCTGCTGAATCCAACTCACACGCTGTTTCATTTATTTATTGGTTGATTTTATTAGTCTTGATACATCTTCAGCACAGAGCACACAGGTTCGTTTATGATGGAATCACACAACATCACATTTAGCAACGAAACTCTGAGCTGCTGACAACTGAAAACAGGTCCAGCTTTTGCAGAGATCAGGCGATCTCCACATTCACCCAGTCCTTACTCCTTATTTGAGTTCGTTTCAGACTGACTTACCAGATTTTAGCAAACGGTTCAAAGCAGCCGTTTATGTTTGGAGGGACGTCAGACGTGACTGGCAGGTCCATTGGCCTTACTGACCTGCTTATCCTGAGATAACTCAAGCTTACAACACCGAGGGTCTTACTGTCGCCAAATCAGCGACCTCATTACCCAGAACCCCCCGCTGCTCATCATCAGCCTCGGTGCGCTGACTGTGTGCAGACGACCTGTTGTCTGTTGGGGGAAACAACACGCAGGCTTGCTCTTGTTTTGGCCTCCGTTAAGTATCACTTAGGTTGAAATGACAGCTTCATGACAGCGCTTACAGCCTCCTACTCTGTGTGGGAGAGCCAAGAATGCGGCCATGCAACCACTTCATGGCTCAAAGGAGAAGAGACAATGTGAGCGAGAGGATAAGGAGGGAAGAAGAAGAAGAAGGATGGTGGAATAGGCTGAGAGGAGAAATAGCTGTTGTCGTAGAATAAATACTGGGATTAATTGAAAGAAGTGGACAAATTTCATTTTTAAAACGTCTTTTCAGTGTTTCAGTGTCTGTGTAATCTGAACTTCATGAAGGCCAAAAGTGTGACTGTCAAGTTAAGGGTTTAAAGTGACGGTTTAAAAACAATGGCCGACCTGAGTTTGTGTTTGATTTATGTATACTCTGAAGTGAAAGCTATGCAAGCAAATGAACTGGACACCATAAATTAACTCTCAGGTCAACAGCTCAGATCTGCTTTGTCTGCAGATTTAGTTAAATTCTTGGCTTCACGGCTCAGCGTTTTTGTTTTTACCGCTTCTTCCTTGATTTCTGTCGTTTTGTGCCTTGAGCTGCTCGAGATATTTCAAAGTTGTGTTAATAAAAAACACAATAAACATTTTTCTTAGACACTAATGGGTGTTCCAACAGCATAATTGTCTCAAAACAATCATCTGACTGGGTTTGAAGTGAAGAAAGTGAGCTAAAATTGAGTTTTTGGCATTTGTGGTTCCCGTATGGTTTCAGTTTTATTATGGCTGACTCAGTTTTGCTAACTCTGTTCCTATGTTTGCCTAATTGACCACAGAAAGGCTCTGGTCAGAAAGCACGCAGGACATCAGTAGATCTGAAACCGTTTGCTGTAGAACTGCACAGTGGTGCATTCTGGGTACAGAAAAACATCATACGCTGCACCATAGGAAGGAGAACCACTTCGTGGACAGTCCATTTCAAAATAAGAGCATGAGTTTGAAGGATTCTTAATAGTAAATCACCAAAACTTCACTGCAGATATCAAACTTTGTTCAACGAAAAGTTTACAAAACAGAAAAGTAAATTGTAAAGGCCTTTAAATCTACTATGTAGGGGAAGCAAAGTATGTTAAATGTTTTCAAAATTAGCAAAGCCAAAAATTTGCTTCTCTATTAGAACATTATTTGATAGTTTCTGGACTAGGATTAATAGATAGATTATTGCCAATCAATTTGAATGGAGTTTATCAAATGATAAAGAAGAATGATCAAATATTCTGTCAGAATTACACCAGTTTGCTGATGGCTGCACAAACGGTCTGGTTTCCCCATAACCTGCTAAAGGGTAATCAAATATCAGTGTCTGTATATATTTGAGCTTGTATCGCCTTGTGTTTTACCTTTCATTTAAACTGGAAAGTCACACTGAGATTAAAAACCTCTTTTTGAAGACGCAGCAAAGGTTACGCAGCAACACAAACATTTCTACAGTCGCGGCAAATTATTGGTTCTTATGTTTCCGAACCGGCCTCTCCGTGGAGGATGATTGACTTTCGAGTTTCCAGGCGTTTTCGAACAAGACGTTTTGTAACAGTCCGCTGCTCTGAAAAGTGAGCACTCGAGGCTCGTCTGCACTCTGATGGTTTCTCCAGCTGCAGCTCTGATTCATGCCGCGGCTGACCTGAGAACAGCCAGCGTGCGGCCTGAACGCTCTCGGGGTTCCCCGCGTGCATTTTTCACCTCCTGTACGTCGCGTGAGGAGCGCTTTGTTGTGTGGGAGCCTCGCGTACGGGGGCTGCATGGTCCCGGATGTGGCTCCTCCCTGTTTTGGTAACCTTGACGGAGTTATGTTTCTGCAGATGTGCTCAAACTATAACATAAGGAAGTTCTTACTCTTTGACATTCCTCTCTTTTGAGCAAGAATGAAGTTCTTGTGAACTTTAGGGGATTGCGGATTTGATTAAAAGGCACCTGTTTTAGCTATAAATCCACAACAATTTGAAGATACTACTTCTTTTAAAGCTGAGCAGGCCTGACGGAGACGAATGGCGCTGAAATGCACACCGGCCATGAAAAATGTTGTCTGGCTAGGAGGAATCCTGCAGAGGCCTGGTTGGCCTGCTGGATACGTGAAACTGCAACCGATGGGATGCTGGAAAAAGACGGAAAATCATCTCTGTGGGAAACACTGGGGAGGCCAGAAAGCAGGAAGGGACTTGAGTGGATCTTATGAGACAGAAGAGAAGAGACTTGCTGAAGCTGGTGTGAAACAAATCTTGTCCTGACTTGGGAATGAAACGCCGCTCTGGTTGGAAGAAGCCATTTTGTGTCCTGCGTTATGGTTGCGTTAAAAAGTGCGTGGCAACGGCCACCATGGTGACTTTGAATTTGAAGGGGGAAAAAAAATCCCACTCATTACTACAATTTTAGTTTTTCCAACTAACCAAAGCAGAAACAGTTTTAGACTGATAAAAGCTGCAATATGTAGCTTTTATAATGTGAATGTGAATTCGTAATCCGTGAAAAGATCGGCCTCCTCCGCTTCCTCCTCAAGCTGCTGCTGCTGCTGCTGTCTGAAGAAACGTACCGACCAAAAGCGACCAATCAGAGCCAGGGGTGGACGGTGGAAGCGCTGCCACTCATTCTCGTGAACGCGCTGCCAGAGGCGAAGAAGCAACTTATCATGAAAGGAAAACCGTTTATCCGCCGCTAACTGGCATCAACATGTTGGGGAAAAGCAATAGCGAGCGCACTCTGTATTTAAATGTGTGGTATGAGCCACTCGAAAGCCCAGTAGCTCCTGAAGCGCTATAATAACACAGTGCTCCTCTGTGTTATTACAGCCTCTCACTGTGTTACTGTTTTGCCTTTTCAGTCTTATTCCAGTCAAATTCCTGCTCCTAAAATCTAATCACAATTGTTTCAGCTGCTCTCTGTCCAACACAGCTGTGAATGTCTGAGCGGGTCGCATTGCACAGACAGCAGGGGGCAGCAACACACTCTCTTTTTTTACTCCACACTGAGCATCGCTGTATGTGTTGAAGAACACATCAGCTATTAAGGAAAACCAGATTCATAAAACAATGTGAATGAAACGTAATATGGTTTTGCGGAACCTGGCATCTCAGTCATCCTCACTTTCCTCCTTTAACGACTTGATTGCTCAAATCGAAATCAGATGTGGCCGTAAAAGGCAGCTAAACTCCATCCAGCTGACCAAGTATTTATTGGCCTGCAGAATTTGAATGGACAGCACTGCAGATATTTCAGTCCGCCAAGTTTATCTCCCAAAGCCGTTCGCTGCCTTTGTGATGTTGCATATCCTGGTAGGCGTGACGACAAGGACTCGGATCCAGAGAACTTCTGAGTCTGTGCTGCTGGGTGTGTCAACACTTCAGGTTTATCAAGTTTTATTCAGCTATCGACCACATTTACACTCCTGTTCCTCGCAGCTTCCCTGGAAAGTGGCACTTAGGAGCGAGACTTCATTTTAGCGTCTCACCAAACGTCTGTATGGAGTCACAGACTAATTGCATCAACATGTTGTGTTACAGTAAAGAAATGGCTTCACTGATAGCGACCGTTTTCCAGTATGCTTTTGATGTGAGTCTGTCGAACTCTTCAAGAGGGAGCTCTTTAATAAGCCACAGGGGCCAAAAGTGAATATGTTTATGATAAAACTAATAAAAACTGCAATCCGTTTAGCTTAGCACAGCGCCAAGCAGCTGCTATTTCCCATGTTGGCTCAGGTTCAGGGCTGACTTCAGCGTTGAGCGGCGCGGCTCCAGTGTTATTGTTACTAGTTGCAGCCCTGTAGCTTTTCCAGCTACAGCGGGTCAAAGTGACGGCCATAACGTCTTCATTATCCTGTTGTTTTAAAATTCATTTGTTCTCTTGAAGAACAGTTGAATCTTTGGGTGGTGTTTAGATGTGACAGTGCGCTCTTTGTTTCTGTCCAGGTCCAGGGTGCGTGCTTGAGAAGCAGACAAAACCCTTGCTGCATGGCACCCGCCGTTGGTGAATCTGCACCGGCTCCGTCCAACTTTACCCGCGCCGTCGCCTCCTACAAAAACCGCCGTAACCACCAGAGGCTGACCTCCCGCCCCAGAGGCCACCAGACCTCGCACAGCTCCCTCCCGCTGGCCTGCGAAGAGGACGAGGACGAGCAGGAGGAGTGGGCTGACCAGCAGCTTCCTGACTGCCGGAACTCCCATTGGAGGGGTCATCAGTCGGGTTCGCATTTCTCTCTACCCAACCTGGGCTCGACCGGCTCCTACTCCGCCCGGAACCCCCCTGCTCCGGGCTCCAACCTCTACAACCGGGTCTGCTCCCTCCAAAGGAGACCCTCGCTCGTCCCGCCTTTCCGTTTGAACGTGGACTCCCTGATCGGGGCGGAGGAGACGGACGTGGACACGGGACACAAGGTGAATCCCGGCAGCAGCGCCGACCTGTCCGTGGTGTCCGCTTACATCAAGTCCAGCCTGCCTCTGACGCCCCGGCCGCTATCGGCCCCTCCTGAGGACGTCAGAGCCGCCTTCTCTCCTGACATCCCAGACGGCACCTACAAGTCGGCCACTTTGGGCCGGACGCCAAACGGCTTCTCCCTCGACTGCAGTCCCTCCGCCTTGCTGGGGGCGCATCTCCAATGCAGCAGTTTGAGCACAAGTGCCGCTCCGTCTTCGAGTGACGTTTCCATCAACCTGTCGGACAGCTGCAGCATCGTCAGCGCTCCGATTGAAGAGGCAGACAGGGTAGAAGAAGAGCAGGAGTTCTACATTTGATAGCCGATTTGAAGCTGGGAGAACTGAATGTGGCCAGTGATGACAGGCTGTAGTTCTGAACGCAGTTAGCAAAGCTCCAGTACGCCACCTAGTGTCTGATAGTAAAATTACAGTAGAAGAGAGGAACCTGAAGCACAGACCTCTGTTTTATTGAATGTAGACAGGAAATATCGTCGCATATTATTCTCATTTAGTGGATCAAGTAACTGTACAGAAGCTTTATTCATTAAAATATAATTCCTTCCCTTTGCAGGGTGTGAAACATTATTTTTATAGCACTGTTGGTTTTATCTACAATGTTTTGTAAAAGTATTGATACTTCTTAGAGTGGAAGGAAAAGGATTTGAATTTTACATTTTACTTCAGTTACGGCCGCAAGGGAGAGTATGTCCAGTTTTATACTTCCAAAAAGTCAATGTTTAGATACAAAGTAGCTCAGGCTCAGTCAGAAAACACCTTTGATCTTATTTTTCCAAGGATTATCCACTATATTCAGGACCAGACTTTGACTAGACCATTCTAACACAAAATACTTCGATTGAAACCATTCTGGTTGCTGGAAAGTGAAGATCTGTCGTAGTAATCTCAATTTCTTGCGCCCTCAAAGACATTTCCTTCCAAGATGGCTTCCCGACGACCCCATCCGTCCCTGCTGAAGAGCTGAAGAGACATATCCCCGCAGCATCATGCTGTCGCTACCATGTTTCACAGAGTGGATAATGTTCAGAGTGTTAATTGATCCTTGCACTTTGTCTTTAAAAAAAAAAGTTTGATTTTGGACTGGCTGTATTTCTTAGCATGGCTTGTAGCAACTTCAAACTGGACTTCTTCTTCCTTCACAGCGACATTGCTTCTACCTGTAACATAAAAACCCAGTAAAAATACACATTTTTGTGGTAATGTGACTAAACATGTAAAAGTTCAGAGCACTGTATCTCTTCAGTGTGCAAACACAATGACACATCTGGTTTGGAGAAAAAGATAATAAACACAAACGTAAAGCAGTCCCTTCAGTTTGCTGTGTGCAGTTTATTGTTTGTTTGTTTGTTTTTTTATTTTCCTTTCCTACATCCTGAACATCTTCTGAAGCAAATATGCAAACGTGGAGAGAAATTAAACTTTTTGGTGGAGCACGTCAGCATAAAAACCCAAATATGTTTATTTTCTACTCTCTTCATCATAAGTCATAACAATCCTCATCTGACAAGATGAGTCGGCACTTCTGAAGCTCGTTTGGTTTAAATCGATTTAACTTTGCTCTGCATTGGTACGCTTTAAATATGAATAAAAATGAGCCCATCTTTAAACGTCACAGTTCCGTAGGTGGCGTCACAGATGCTGGGTTGTTATTGTTTCAAAGAGACTAAAATCCCTGCTGTGGAAATGTTTTCCAGCCAGTTATGTGTCAGTTTCTGATTTCTGCATTATTATAATCTCGTCATTCTTTGAAATAGTTCAATTCTACAAAAAAAAAAAAACTAAATAGCCTTATTCACTAAACATTTTGTTGTGGTTATTCTACTAAATAGCTCTCAGAGACAGTAAGTGCGATAAATTACTGGTTTAAGGGTCAATCCAGGGAAAATGTCTTTTTTTTTAACAGAGACCTTGGTGGTTTTCAGAAGTTGTTTATATTTATGCACAAATTTAATTGCACATGATTTGTGTTGACCGACTTAAGGAAGGGTTCAAATCTGGCTCATTAATTCAACTTTCTTTCTCATCACTCTCTCCTGCTCTTTGCTGATTATGTGTCGCCAAGGAAGTGTGTCCATTTATTTAGTTTTGAACTAAATGTTAATATGTAAAAAGAAAAGGTTTTCTAAATATTTCATTTAGTTATTAGTGTGTGTGTGTGTATAGAAAAGGCTGGGCGTTCTGAAATAATAGGTCTATATTTCTGCGGTTCTTGAGGAAGATGGATCCATATCCACTGGTTGTCAGAGAAGAAAAATAAAATGTCTTCATGCTTTAAGTGCTACGGAGGGCGCAGTGCAATGCTGCTCTCTAGTGTTTCACTTTGCTTCCTTCAAAACGTTTCATAACTTCCACCAGGAATATGTGCGTCTTACCTCATCTCTAAGTTAAAACATTACTCTCCTAAAGTTCTTGGTGATTTATGGAAGTATTGTTTGTATGTATCATGATGTGTTGGAAATGTCTCTGCTGTAAGCTGGAAGTATGGCTGCAAGGTAACAGTGGAAAAAATACTTTTTTGTTTTTAGTTATGGATCCATAAATGGAACTGTGTGATCAATAATATCACTCTTGTGCATGGTAGTAACTTGCTTCTGTTGTGCATTAATAGAGAGGTAAGTATGCAGATTTTAAAATCAGGAGTTTAAAATGTAGAATGAAAAAAATCATGATAATTAAATAAAACTTCAAAGGTTTGCTGTATTTTGAATTGGTTTCGTATAAGAAATCTCGGCGCAGTTACTGAAAAATGTGTTCATGTGCGAAGAATTAACGGAAGAGACCCAGATGTGACGGTGGTTGTTAAACCAAACACGATAACCAATTTTTCTGAATGTTTTTAGTTAAATATTGATCAATTAGTTCCAATGAAGTGAGTTTTTCTCTTGCTATTTTCTTTCACCGTTCAGAAGCTAATACTACTTTGATTTTTTTTTTTTTTTGTAAAATAAAAAAAAAAGGTTTTGTTCTTGCAGCGTTTCAAAGGTGAGGAGATTTACCGAGTTTCAGATTTTTCTCAGACTTGTCATTTTTCTCTGATGTAAATTCCTGCCTGACGGTGAGCGTCTTAATCAGCAGGTGGGGCTGCGGAGTCACAGACCTGCAGCATTCTGTCCAGGTCACCACTCTTGATTTCACAAACATGCCACGAATGTTGCACCCCGAATTTCTGACGCATTTCTCGACTTTTTTCTATCCTTAAAACTTTTTGTTGTTGTTCTTGTTGAGGCGCTTACCAAGGGAAAGTACACAAATACGCTTCTACACACATTACACTCTCATACTTTCATACAAAAGCCTTTGTATTTGTAACAGATACAGAAACTGAATCATCTCCTCACTCCCATCTCCAAGGAAATAAGAGATTTAGGTGACGCAGGACATCGGATGACCACTGGGCGCGTTCGTAGATCATAAGCAACGAATCTTCCCGTTTTTAATATATGCTGTATAGACCCGGGGGCCCCGGTTTTCACTTCTAGTCTGATGGTAAGCGTCTCTTTTTCAGTGCTAAAAAAGAATAAAAAAAGTAAAGTCTGATTGCTTTGTGTCGGCCGATTTGCTGCTCGTGTGCTTGCACGTTTTTGGTCTTTCGGTTTAGAATACATGATGTTTTTCACAACATTCTTCTGCATGGTTCTTAAGGCCCGTGCTCGAACCTGTGTGAGCTGATCCCACCATGGCCTCCATTGTCGCTCTCTCTCTTTTGTTTGCAGATTGTTCTGGAAGCCGCCGCCTTGTGGCAGCCCGTCACGACGGCACGCACTCTCTGATCCTTCAGCGCCTCAGCGATCCCTGGAGCCTGAAGGGAAGTAGGGCACTGGAGGCGAGGCAGGATGAGTCAGGAAAACCGTGTCTTCCATGCGGATGACACGCTGCGTGACCTTTTCCTCTTCACCTCTTTTTTTTTTGTTTGTTTTAAATTGTCGCCATCTGTCTTTTGCGGCGACTTCTCCATCAAAGTCCTCAAATTCCTGCGTTTGGAGTTGGGAGCTTTTGAGGTTGTGAAGAATGTGGCGGCCCTGCTTAATGAAGCCCCCGCGCCACGGCTTCTCTCTAATTAGTCGAGAATCTGTTTGACGGAATCTGCCGTCAAACAAAGCAGCTGAATACCTGATGGCTACCAAATCATGCTCTCTTCTTCTTCATGGGAAAAACACCAGGAACTTTTATTTCTCGGCCCCAATTAGGAGGGACGGCTCAGGGTGTGGGGGTGGGAATACTTCAGAGTGGTTGCATTTTAGGGTAAATAAAGGGCATGCAATCTCACATTTCTTTGTTTTTTTTTTTAAAAGATAAATGGAATTTTAACTAATCAGATTTTCCTGTCATTGCAAAATCAACAATAAAAGGATTAGCTCAAAGGCAAGCATATATTTGTCAGTCTAAAAAAAAATCTTGGACTTGGTTCTTGCACTTAGAATGGAAAAGAGTAGAACAGAAATACCAAGAATTGCCCCAAGCTGGGGGAAATTCAGGTGTCATGGCAGCAAATTTAGGTGAGTAACGTTAAGTGTTCAAGCAAAGGTTAAAATAAAAGACTGCGCAGTGAGGACACATTTACAACTTAAGAAAAAGAAAAATGACACTGCAGATATTTAAAAAAGAGCATGTTTGAATTAAAAACGACGTGCGCCTGAGTAGGTCGGCTAATTTACCAGAGAACAATATGCAAAAGTGCTTGGATGTAAAACAATAATAAGAAAACGACAGACTGTAAATGACGGAGTGCGATGAGAGCAGTGAAGGTGATGGAGTCTAATGGCTGCTGGGAGGAGCTGTTGCTGCAGTAACGATCCTTTACACGCCTTATAGGAGGCATCGGTCCATCAGTGAAGGAGCTCTTCAACTCAGCAACCTCTTCCATCACTTACAGTGATTTTAGTCCACCTGATTTATTGCTCACCACCATCTGTTTGGTTCACTGTAATTATTTTTTCCTCGTGTTTTTAAAGCACTTTGATTATTTGACAATGTTCCAGACTTTTCATTACGTTCCCCCAAAGTTGAGACAAACGTGGCCAAAGGAAAGCACAACTCTGATTATTACCTTCACAATAAGAACCAAAATTCATTGGGTAGCCTTTGCTTTTCAGTTACTTAATAAGAAAATGTCACAGGATAAAGACTATATTGATGAAAATACTCATTTAAGAACGATCCAGTCTATTCTGATAAAACTTTAATGTTACGCTAATCCTTTTCTTGCTGCGGCTCACTGAGAGATTGCTAACTTAATGAGAACTTAGATTATGCAGGTACTCAACAGTGGAAAGTAAAGCCCTGCACTATTTGAATACATTAAATGCATATAAAATACACATTCCAACATATTGTTTGATGGTTAGTTTGTGAATAGCGACTAACTTGGAATTTTGTCGTTCCTAGTAGGAAAAATCCATTGGTACAGCCAGTGGGAATTCTTACTTATGACGTTTGGAGAGTTCTCCCTTCAACTCTGACCTCAAAACCATAAAGTGGATAGAAATGTGCTTCAACAACACCAAATCCCACTGGTTTTCCCACTGCCAAGCAGAGAGTGAAGCCAGGTGTGGCGTCCCCAGAACTCAGTCCTGAGACGATCGGAGTCACGCTGGCCAGGTCACGGTTTTGGTTTTTCGCTTTCCGCGAACGGAAACAGTAATAACAGCTGCTTGTGTTTCTCTAACGTGTTCCGAATCAGAGCTCTGTTATACTCTTCCCTGATGAATGATGCGCCGTTGTAAATCAGTGGTGGGAGCAGCAGAATGCCCCTGGAGAATGAGTCCACATTCCACTGTGTGATGCCAATTAAAAACACTGACGCAGGGGAAACGTCTTTTGATCGTCGCAACAAAAGGCCAGATCACTTGAGCGACACAATGCCGGCGTGACCTTCGCGGTCGGCGTGACCTTTCAGAAAAGAAGCATGGCGGTTCTTGACCACCTCGCAGTGGAATACTGCGGACACGTGACGTCCAGCTGAGGTAGTGTTTGACGATCTGAGACAGGCAGAGAAAATGCTACTTGCTGTACTTCGAGCAAGAACGGAAACGACACGATGCAACTGACGTGAAAAACAACCGAGGGTAACGTTTGTCACAAACCAACGAACAAGGGTAGTTCAACATTGGCGACCAACGTTCTGCCACGATGACAACTAACTCCAAAGTTTACCTGTAAACTTGAGCCAACATTCCTAAAACAATACAGTGGTGCAGCAGCAGAACTGCAGCCAATTACAGTGAATTAGCTCTCGACGCCCCTGGTGTCCTTAGCTCAGGGCTTTTGCTGCATTTCTTTCTTAACTCTTCTATCCGTTTCTGGTCTCATAATTGCAAATAAAAACAACTGGGACAAATAGAAAGTTTGACCTTTAGCCAGCCTGTTAGTTGCATTTTCCACAAACTACTGTTAGATTGTTATTTAACTTCAGCTAATGTTCTCTAAATACTGCACAAAGCTTAACTATTCTAAACGTTACTTCTAACATTTAGCCAAAGTTTAATGCCACTTAAAAATGATTGGCAATTGCAATAAAATGAGTCAAAAGCTTAAGGAAAAAAATGCAAAAATGTCTGAAAGATCTGTTTCATTTTCAAACTTGATTCAAAAATCTGAAAATGCAATGACAAAAATCCCCCAGTTTGCAACAAATTGATCCTTTTGGAATGTGTTTACTGATAAAGCTGAATGGGAAAATGTCTTTCTCAACGCAACATGCATGCCAGCTATATGCACACACACACACACACACACACACGCATACACACACCCACACATTATCAGGAGTGTTCTCTCCCCTCTGCCCAGCTTGGGATTTGCTGGTCAGTGACATGCCTCCCTCCGCCTGGCTCTTTATAGCCCCTGAGGAGGCAGGAATACCGGCCGATTGGTACGGACATCGCCGACAGCAACCGCAAACAAGAAAGTTTTCCCTTTAAACACCGTCTCATGACCGTTTCAGAGAGACAGTCGCTCGGGCGGACTGAGCCGGAGGCTGATAACCCGGGACAGAGGCGGTGACTCGGTGACAAGGAGAACTGGGGGACGGAGCAGAAAACCGGCTGCAGAGCCTGAACCACACTGCCTTACCTGTCCACAGGTAAAGTTTTATTTCATCTACCGAATTAACTTCAGCCATCAAGTCATCCAAAAGTGTTACAAAGTCTTCTAGAAATTGAAGAATTTCAATTGCTTTTTTCTCCCACTGGTTTGGTTTTTAATGATGCAGCGGTGGATAAAAGAGTGCCTATATCGTCAGAATTGTTTAATCATAATTAAACTGGTTACATAATACAGTAACCAGTTATGACACGAGCAACAAGCATGACATTTTGTCATATGCATCAAATATGTTGCTCAAAGTGCCATTGATTATGGTTCAAAAGCGACGCCAAACGGGAAGGGCTTATCGCCTTGATTTAAAAGAAACTCAAGGTTCCGGCTGTTTTGCAGTTTTCTGGACGTTTGTTCCAGATTTGTGATTGGTTCTGGTTTTCATGACACGGAGCAGAACCAGGACCAGAACACAATGTGGATCAATGTTTCACTCACTGCTAATTAGAAGCAACTCCAAACAGGTGGGGCTGCTTTACGTTGGTTAATAAAGTTGCTCACATCGTTTCTTGCACATGAGACGCCTGTTCAGGTCTTTGACTGGCTTCCCTGTGAATGTCTGACCTTTCTGACCCGATAACTTTTATCATTCCTCATCTCACAGCTCCGATTGTCGGACCACTGAGTCGAGCCCTGCGGACACTTCCTCCAGCCGAGGACATGCGTTGTCTGCCTCTGGCCTCCGTCCTCGTGTTCCTCTGGTTGGCCGAGAGGAGCCACTGCACCGGCAGCTTTCAGGACAGCATGCGGGAGCTCCACAACCGCTTCGCCGTCAGCCTCTACCAGACGCTCACCGAGGCGGAGAACCGCTCCAACCTGATCGCGTCCCCGGCGAGCGTGTCCCTGTCCCTGGCCCTGCTGCAGCTCGGCGCCAGGGGCAACACCCGGGCTCAGCTGGAGGGAACGCTGGGATACAACGCAGACGGTATCTAGGCTTCGTGGAAAGGGGGCGACAAAACGTTTTGCTGTGAGAAGCAGGAGCTGGAGAGGGGTTTTTTTTGTCGGTGGCGCTCAGCGCTGTTGGTACCAGGTGGCGTGGAGCGGTGCTGCTGCTGCTGCCGGCTGGCCCCCGCAGAGCACAGTGGTGTCTGGAGCCGTAATACCGGCCTCCACACCAGCTCTAATCTCATTAACCACTCCTGCGGCTTGGCCTCAGGAGACGGGTCAGGAGGCCAACGTGTTTCCTTACCAATAAATGTGACTGATGAGGATCTTTTTCTCTTTCTTCCTCCCAAGGATATTAGCTCAGAGGTCAGCTAGAGACTCCAGGAGGTCAATTTAAAGGGCCGTGAAAAAAAAAACTAAAAAAAAAAAGTTGAAGAAAAGCTCTCAAACCTTTTCTTTTTAGTTTTACATTTTTATTTTTAGTTCAATTCAAATTGAAATTCAAAAATACTTTATTGATCCCAAAAGAAAATTAAAAATTAATTAATTTTTTTTTAGGGGGGGGGGGGGCAAAAGCCATTTTTAACTATTAGGAAGGTGACAATCTCCCTAAAAAAACAAAACAAACAAACAAAAACACAAGTCACTGTCAAGTCTAAGCCAAAAAACGGATATAGTTAGTTATTGCAGGACAAAATATAACTCATATGAAAAAGAAAACATCCTACAACAAGCTGATTTTTTTTCTTACTGAGAATGAAATGTATTTCAGTAACAATAACAGTAATAATTTAGTTTGAACAAAAAAAAAGTAATCCAACTTCTGCATTATCTCACCTGGCTGTTTCTCCCTGCAGATGCTCAGGTGCGAGACTTCGTGCTGCACGCCCAGGGCGGCGTGAGCAACAGCAGCCACGGGGTGTGGCTGCAGCAGAGCTGCACGCTGTTCGTCCAGAGCGGGGTCCGACTCCTGGCCGAGTTCACGCAGCACGCCGCCGCGTGGGTCGACGCCGCCGTGGTGCGAGCCAACTTCAGGCAGCCCGATCACGCCCACCGCCACTCGGAGCCGACGGGCCAAGGTAAACCTGACGGCGGCGACGCTTAAGCGTTGATTACAGCAATCTGGAGGTCGAGGGTCGCTCCGTGACGACTCTCCGCTCGCTTTCTGGAGCTGCCGGTTTGTGGTTGTAAAGCGATCACCTCGCCGTCACAAGACACTGAACACAAATCACAGACACAATCAGAAATGGGATTTTTCTCAGCACCACTCACCATAGATCTTTAACACTGCAGTCTGTGCTGACTAAAAACAGAGTAGAAGAAGAGCAGGAGACAAGCTGCTCCATTTCGTACTTGCCTTGCTTGAATGTGATCAAGGAGAAGCGAAATCTGCTGATGAAACTACTCAGCTGTCAACACCGGCAGACATTTCAGCTCCTCAGAGGCCTGTTATTGCAGAGTCATGCAAACCAGACCTCCTCACACACAAACACAGCAGAATCGGATTTGCGGCCCGTCTTAAGTATTGGAACGAAAATAAGGGAAACTCCACTGTTTCTCCAGCCGTCCTGTTTCAATCAAACTCATACCGATGAAACGAGGACTAAACGGTTTTGTGTTGTTTTCCTTAGATGGGTCGGGATCCCTCCAGTCGGGAAGCAGCAGCGGGGAGCTGTCCGGTTCCGGAGAAGCCCAGGCAGAAGCCCATTGGTGGGGACAACGGCCGCAGGTGGCGCTTGTCAACACGGTGGCGTTCAGGGGCGTCTGGCAGAGGCAGTTCATGTCTGGCAACACCCAGAACCTGCCCTTCGTCCTGCCTGACGGGAGCGCCGTCAAGGTGCCCATGATGTACCAGGCTGGAGAGGTCAGCTTTGGTAAGAGCACATCCTCCCTTACTGGCTGGACGTCAACAGTAAAACGTTGATGGAAAGTGGCCTGGTTTTCAAGTTTTGTCTACTTGCCGAACAGTTACTGCTTCATACTTTTACTCAAGTAAAAGTAAAAAGCAACCATACAAGAAATTACTCAAGCGTAAAAATAAAAAAGGTGTTTGGTAAATAACTGATCAGTTATTTCATATTTAAAAAATATCAGACGCACCTCAATATGAAGTTGTGTGGATATTTTGGTGTTTCGAGGACTAAAATGACAATAATTCATATGAATAACGTAACCACAAAATATTGACAAATCAGTTTGCTTGAGTATAAAAGTTACGACACTTTAAAAAACCTGAACGTGTGCGTGTCTGTCTGGTAAATGTTTGTTAAAACAAGCTTGTTCTTCTTCATTCAGTTACTCAAAATGGGTCGAATGCCCAGAACAGCACAGCAGCACTTACACTGACTTGATTGGCCACTGAAAACTGTGCACTACATTGCATTTAACCGCTAAAACCCCACTAATATATGATGAAGTTCATGGTTGTGATGTCGCAAAGTCTGAGGAAGCTCCCTGTTGTGGGGCTTTCCCTCTTCAGGTCAGTTCAGGACATCATCGGAGCTGCGCTACACCGTGCTGGAGCTGCCGTACCTGGGCCGCGCCCTGAGCCTGCAGGTGGTCCTGCCCAGCGAGAGGAAGAGCCCCCTGTCCTCCCTGGAGACCCAGCTCACGGCCCGCGAGCTGGCCTCCTGGGAGTCCGGCCTGCGGAGGACCAAGATGGACGTCTTCCTGCCCAGGTGACGTCCCTCGTTCTGAGCTTTCGAGTAGTAGTAGAACCCAGGTCGGACTGGATAGGACGCGTTTTATATTTTGAAATTCTTATTATTTCTCAGATTCAGAATGCAGAACAAGTTCAGCCTGAAGTCGGTGCTTCCTGCTCTGGGCGTCAGTGACGCCTTCAACCCGACGGCGGCCGACTTCACGGGAATCTCAGGTCAGTCCATCGATTCCTCGTGCGGTTTCAACAGAAAGCCGCCGCTGATGGCCGCCGCTGCGTTTCACCTCTTGCAGTGGAGGAGGGTCTTTATGTGTCCGACGCCGTCCACGAAGTCCGAATAGAAGTGACAGAGGACGGGACGAAAGCAGCTGCAGCAACAGGTCAGTAGTCCTGAGAAGTAGCAGAGTCAATATGGCGGATGGAGGTTTTAACGGCTGGTTTTTGTCGTTCTAGCTATGGTGCTACTCAAACGGTCGCGCGCTCCTGTTTTCAAGGCGGACCGGCCATTTTTATTTCTGCTTCGCCAGGTTAACACAGGTATCTACACTGCGAATACTCCGCCTCCATAAAACACCAGGAGCTCCTTCTATTTCTAGTCGTCGAACTCATAAGTCGAGTTCTAACAATGATATTCAACAATGAGTGACAATGTTAAAGCAAATTAAACTCTTACAGAAAATGTAACCGTTTCCATTCGGAGACTTTGGATTCGCGATGGAACAGAGAAATTATGAAGTTGCAGTATTTTTAAAACAATATTTGGCGACCTCTAGTGGATGGAAGTTAAAAATCAGTTTTGTTGAATTATAAGACTGGAACAACTTCAGTATTTTTGTTCCACTTTCCAGTGCAAATATCTTAATACGCTTGAAATACATGAGAACTAACTTACAAGTTACTTTTCAGCAAGATATAGGTGCTTGTTGTAAGTAAAATATTCCTTAATGTTTATATTATTTTGCTTATGACAAGACATTTTTACCCAGATTGTTCAAATCTGGGTAAACCAAAAATACTTGACTTTTTTTTTTTTTGCCTTCAGGCTTCTTTTTTTGGCAAAACATTTGTGTTTGTCATTTCAGGTTCAATCCTGTTTATGGGCAGAATAATGAACCCAGCAGACCAAGTAATATAACCCTCCTCTACGCCACCGCCCCCAAATCGCACCAATCTACTCCAACCAATTTCACCTTCGGTATTTATTTATGGACCAAACGGAAGATACGAGGACACTCCAGGAAGAGGGATGTTATTTTTGTAAATACCTGTAAATAAAATTTTAATGTTTTTACACAGTGGGTGCATTTATCATTTACACTAATAAACAAAAAGAAACCTCAAGGAGTCACACATTTATGGAACACTTTATTTACATGGCCCTTCACAGTGTAAAATAGAAACTTTATTTATGGAAATACTTACAAAAAGGCCATTTTATTTTCACTGAACATTTCTTTTTTCTTTTAAATAGTACTCTAGGGTTATTTACATCTTTACAGTGTATTCAAAATACTCTTTTGGTAGCGGCCTCTTCACACATAAAAGACAAGTATGGCAGATTTTGGTCCCTATCCGGGGAGGTTTGCAGAGGAAGAGGGGAGCCACGGCATTCGGAAAACAACTTTTGACCTCTGGACCCAAAACGAGGGTTTGTTTGTGTACATTTGAGAACGCCGAATACAGATTCCCATTCTTTCTCAGAAATTGCAACAACAACAACAAAAAAAATTTAGTCTTTTAAATTACATTAAATAATAATTCTCAAATTTACACAAGTGCAATTGCGATGACGTGACAAGAAGTTGGTTTCAGATCCGTGGCAGAGAGAGGGGGATAGTTGATGGGGGTTTGTTCAGTAATTTGGCAGCAACCAAGACCCCACTTCATCATCGCTTCCAGCAGACCACAGCTCACGTTGCATATCAGCCCTTTTGGGGCTTAAATAAATAGGTGGGGGAGGGGCACTCAATGTTATTGCTGACGCTGATGCATTAATGACGGTTCCTGAGCTTTTTGTCCCTCTTTGCATGACCTTCCTTTGCATTTAGTGTGCTGTTAACTCTGCTTCGCAGAACAAACCTTTCTAGGTTTAAAGGATTCTTAAAAACCGCCGACTTTGTCCGACACCTAAATCATTACGCCGATAATATTAATCGACTGCGGTGACCTTGAAATCAAATTCCGTCTGTTCGAGAGCCGAGTAGCAGAGTGCTCTGGTCGGTGGAGTGTAGAAATTCGATTGGGGCAAATCGGTTTTTGTCTCATCACCCCCTCGCAATCAGAAATGTGAGAGACTAATACCTACTACGGTGCGGTGGGGGAGGAGTATGGAAAAAAAATTAAGGTGGAAGGGGCAAAAAAAAAACATCTTCACTGGATCCCTTTAGACCCTGAGATATCTGGAAACACGCAACACTCAGACTGAACTCCGTCCGCCACATCTTCACAGGGAAAAAAACCCCTCAAAACGACTGAACATTACAGTCATCATTATCATATCCTCCCTAGGAAAAAAAAAAAAAAAAAAGTCTTCACCCCGTTCATGAGATGCGGTCGCTCCCGTCTCGATACCCGGCCCTGTAGATTAAATGTGGGATCTCTCGGTATTCCAGATCCCGGACTCCGTTGCGTCTCGTCTTTGGGTCTTGGTTGAGGTGGAGGGGAGTGGTTGTTTCCACGGGGATGCGAAGGGTTACGGGGTTTATTATTATTGTTATTATTATTAGTCTGTGCAGTTTGAGTTGGTCTCAGAGCATGTCCACGTGGTTCATGGTGTTGGATCGGTTGTGGATTTCATAGAGGAAGTTTTCCAGCTGCTCGATGAGAACTCTCTTCTTAAACCTTTGACGATGGGGAAAAAAAAAAAAACATTTTAAAGTTTGTATTTTCAACATCATTTAAATCTACTGAAAGCCAAGCTAGATGTTTTTATTGGAGTTTTTTTGTTAACTTTGCCGAACTTATTACTGAGGTTTTTATTTAGTAAGACGGTTGCAATGGATTTTATTTAAGAGCGAAGGAGTTAGGGGGGCTAATTACAAATGCAACCCAACACTTTTCAGTTTATCTATTGAATAAAAAGCTCTTTTAAGATCATGTATATTTTTTTTTCATTTGTCTTTGTCATAAAACCCTCAAAGCACATTAAATGTAGAAGTTGCAGCGTGATATGATGTCTAAGGAGCGCACATACTTTTGCAAGGTATTATGATTATCTATTTGTTTCTATGCAGTAAAACATGGATATATCAAAAGTGTTCAAAAAAACAAGAATGTGCAGGGGAAACCTAGACCCAGAAGGGCCACTTTATTAGGTACACTTTATTGATAATAAAGGCTCCTGCAGATTTGTCAGCTGAACTTCATTTCCCTCGGTCCAGCGCATCCCTTAAGTCAGGGGTGTCAAACTCCAGTCCTCAAGGGCCACTGCCCTGCAACGTTTAGATGTGCCTCTGCTGCACCACTCCTATTAGCAAGGCTGTGGAGAACTAATCCACACAATAAGGAGGTAATTAAGCCATTTCATTCATGTGTTTTGTACCTGTGGCACATCTAAAAACTGCAGGACAGCCGCCCTTGAGGACTGGAGTTTTGACAGTCCTCTGTGCCTTAAGTGATCCAACTGGATCCAGTGGTTGCGCAGACATGAACTGCCATGCTATGTTCAGAATCACTTCAATCGCCTTTCTGATGCTCAGTATGGTCTCCAGCAAATTGTCTGAACCACGTCTCGATGACTAAAAGCTCAGAGCAGCTGTGTTGCGTTTCCTCTATAGTTGGAGTTAATGAGAATATGAAGTGGCCGATGAGTGCAGGTGGTTTAATGTTGGTAAAAGAATCTACTTAATAGTTCTATTTATTACTCTGGGATGCGAGAAGAAGTGCAGCTCTGCTACCTGGCGGCCTCTTTGATGATGTTTTGGAGGAAAATGAGTCGAGTGTCCAACGTTCCCTGGATCTGCTTCAAGAGGAGGAAGATCTTCTCGTAGTCTGAAACACAAGAAAGGCAAAGATCCTTCAACCTAACTCCTTAATGACAAAATTTTAATCCTGTTACTCATTGAATAGTGATTTAAGTCATGCTCAACAAGAAAATATCTGCTTCGATTAGCGTTTCTCAACGGGGGTGGTCAGAGGATGGCAGGGGGCGCTGGCGGGCATTTTTTACAAATGGGGAGCGCTGCGACTCCGTTGGGGGGCGTTTGCTCGAAGGTAAACTTTACTTCTTAAAAGCACAGCAATACCAGTTTAGACTTTGAGCTAAAACGGTGTTGTATAACATTAAAACATGTTTGGCTGCAACTGTGTCGATGGCAGCTGCTCTTCTCTTCAGTCTTTGTACACAGCTTGACAAAAACGGTAATTCGGCATTTATTTCTACCACACATTTTCCTTACACTAAACTTTTTTAATAATAAGCTTGCGGTCTGTCGGCCACCATTTCTGCATGCATGTACGTACGTCTGCCAGGTTTTCTGATCTCTTTGGTGATTAGCACCCTCAGCTCGTTGTTGACCTTCGTCGTCTCGCCGTGAATGTGCTTCTTCAGGGCGGCGGGCGACAGGAAGCGAGTCGTCTGGTCCTCCATCACCACCATCTCCACCCCTCCCTCGCCACCCGGCGGCTCGCACGACCCGGGCACCCCGTTCTCCTCCTCGTCCTTGTGCCGGAGAAGCTGCGGGTCGGCGGCGGAGTGGTTCTCCTGGAGGTCGGCGGGCCCTGACGGGTGATCCACGTCGGGGTCGGAGTTCGCGTCGGGGCTGTAGTGGTTCTGATTCAGGTGGTTGATTATCAGCTCAGGTTCTGGTGCGCCGTCGTTCAAGTCCATATCTACGGGGAGGTTGGAGGGGGTGAGAGAGTTAGAAGATAGGATCACTTATTGATCAGGTTTAGCTGTGAGAAGAAAACACCGACGGAAAGCTGATCTGCTCGTCTATTTTCATCCGTCAGCAGCATTTCGAAGGAAAGACCGTGGATTTAACCTGTCGAGTGTCGTGGGCTGGCGGGCGGCGTCACAGGAGGCGTGTAGGCGCGGCCCAGACGCAGCAGAGGCGACATGCAGCGCCGTCTCTTGGGACCGCCACCTGGCATGTTGCTGCTCTCTCCCGGTCGCTTGCCCTTGTTCTGCGGGCCGGTCACAAACTCGTCCGCCTCGTCGATCATCATGCCCTGCAAGAGATCAGGTGGTTGCATTTTACCGCATCAAAGTACTCTTTCCTTCTATGTAAAGGTTGACATGAACAGGGCGTGGCGCACCTTCTTGTCCAGTTTGAAGGGGTTTCCAAATGTGTGCAAACGCTTGGGCTGTTCGGGATCTGCGTCTCGGAGTGGCTGGGGGGCAGATTTCAGGAAGTCTTGGTAGTTTCCCATCTGGGCGATCGGCACACTGTGGAGCTGGTCTGGAAACAACACCAGCAGAGGGAAAATTAAGTTTTTCAATTGAATTTTCAGTGTGTTTGCAGAAATCCTTTGAGAAATAGTCTAATGACCAATTTTCAGCTTGTCGGAAACTTATTTTTGAAGATGAATGCTACATACCCTACACCAGAGATTAACGGAATATTTTCCGTATTTAGTAATTTTTTTTTAAACGAGAACATTTGAAGCCTGTCCGTCATTTGACAGGTTACAATTCACACCCCTAACGGGTGCACACAGGCAGACATTATAGAGCTTACGCAAAGAGTTCATCAATAATAATCAATATTATTATTGATAATAATATTGATTATTATCAATAAGTAATAATAATAAAAAAAAATCCTTTCTTAATATCACCTCATGGACACTGAGCTAAATGCATCTTTCTGACCGGGAGCTGACAGCGAGTTGAAGAGTTATGGATCGGATGTTTGGAGCGTCTGGTTCAGAAACGCATTCCAAACCTTTGGTTGAAACGGCGCCTTTAATTCCAGACTCCATTACATACAGAACAGAGAAAACTAAAGAGTTTTCAATGTTGAGCTAAGGCATTGATAGTCCAAACAGAGAAGCCGGCAGTTTATCTTGAGGAAATAAATAAAGGTGCAGAAGTTAATTAGACTGTAACATGCGCAGTCCGCTGCACAACCGATGCTGTCGTCAGCCTTTTCAAATCAGATGCTTCAAAACGAGCAGATAAAGTTGTTGGAAACATTGTTTATAGTTATGGTAAGGATATACATTCGCTAAAATAATACACTAATTCTTTATGTACAAATACACAAATTTGAACATACAAATTCAAAAATACTTTATTGATCCAAAAGGGAAATTAAATATTGCTGTAATTTTAAATATTGCATTAATTTTGTAGT